CCTGTGGAACTCCTTGCCAGAGGAGGCTGTGAAGGCTAGGACTATAATAGAGTTTAAAGAGAAGCTAGTTAATTTAATGGAGGTTAGGTCCATAAAAGGCGATTAGCCAGGGGATAAAATGGTGTCCTTGGCCTCTGTTTGTCAGAGGCTGGAGAGGGATGGCAGGAGACAAATCGCTTGATCATTGTCTTCGGTCCACCCTCTCTGGAGCACTGGTGCTAGCCACTATCAGCAGACAGGATACTGGGCTAGCTGGACCTTTGGTCTGACCCAGTACGGCCGTTCTAATGTTCATTTTGTTCCTCCGGTTTCCTGATGAGCAACGGGTAACTCCAGCTAGTAACTCATAAGGGACCTTGTGCAAAAGGATTTTTTTGAACAAAATGACCCCGTCTACACTGCTTTATTTTTTTTCTTCTCACAAAAACCTTTTCTGCAATAAAGAGACTTTGCAAATGACAGTGCAAGAAATGCTAATGAGCGCTTCGTTTGCATTGCCTCTACCGACAAAATGATTCTGTCTAGATGTAGCCTAAAGGCCAGATTACTTGCTGGGATAACTCCACTGAATGGTCAACAGAGTTTTATAGGCAGAAAATTTGCCTCTGAGCTCTATGAACAATTTAGGTGCTGTGGTGTGATTTGTATTAGGGCAAATCTCAAGTGTTCAACTATCTGTTTGAAACAAGTAAAAAACTGTTCTTATCACTCTCAGATAAATCCGTACTGATAAATGCTCACAGATCAACCAATGCTTAAGCTCTGTTGGTTGGTGTTATTTTAAAGTCAATGTCTGGCTTTTTAAAAAATCTAGTGCAGGTGAACTCCTGCTTTCCCCCTTATCTCATGCAACTCCTGTTGTATTTATGTGCAATAATTTTTTTCACCCTGGCTTCCAAACTGATGCATGTCCTGGGTTTTCTGTTTCTCAGATTCCTTTTTCCCGAGGGCGAGTCCCTGGATGGTGGCTCTCATTGTGATCCTGCTGGTTTTGTTTGGTTTCATGGGCCTCATTGCTTATCTGTTTAAACTAAAAGGTAAATATCACAGGGGAGAATGACTGAAATTAATGAGAAATTGTCTGTTAGTAAATTAAAAAAGGGAGGATGGGACATTTCACACTCGGCCAAGTGAGGGAAGCACGAAGCTGCACTGCCCTGCCCTCAGCAGCACAGGGAAGGATCCGTTACCAAGGTTTCCCCTTGTTTCAGGGAGCAGTGATCCTCATCTGCCCTTTGTGACAGGTTCGCTCATAGGGGTCTCCCTGGGGCTACCACCCAATGTGCATTGTCCAGCCAGATATAACAGTCAGTACATTCCCAAAGCTCCCAGCAAAGTGAATGGGAACAAGTAACATACAAGGAAGCCGTGTTGGGCGCTAAGGGTGAGCTTTTTACAGGTGTTTGGACATCTAATACCAATTGTAATAAACCTGATTACTGTTAAAAATCTGCCCCTCCTTCCATAGGGAATTCAGAACTTTCCAAGCTATAAGGCCTTGAAAATAAACCGTTACTTTTTGATACTTCACTCTAGCGTAGACACAAAATGAGTAGAATGTGAATGAAATGTTTCATTATTTTCCAGTTTATAGGAATTCAAGAGGGTGTGTCTAAACCCCCTCAATGGAGCCATGTAGATTAGGCTGATTGGCAGAGGGAAATGAATCCGCGATTTAAATAATCACGGCTTCATTTAAATTTAAATGGCTGCCGCGCTGAGCCATCAAACAGCTGATCAGCTGTTTGTCGACTCAGCGCGCTAGTCTGGACGCTCCCGCGCCGACCTGAAAGCCTTTTATCGACCTCCCCGTTCTGCCTCGTAGGATGAGGGTTACCGAACAGGTGACCGTCTAGACATTTTAAAAATAAATCCAGAGGAGACTAAGCCTGGTGAATTTCTACTCACCTGCTGCAATGTTGCTATGTTCCCCCTTTGTTCTGGGGGACAGTGATTTGCATCAGCCCATTAATAGGCACCAAGAACTTCTTCCCCAGAACTATGTTGATTAAACTGACTGCAGCACGTGGAAGAAGCAGGAGCAGAGCAGCCAAACCCCTGCCCAGTCTCCACCCTTTTCTGCCCCTGCCCGCTCTACCTGTTCAGTTATTCCCCCTCCATCCCAATGATCTTGGGAACTGGGAAAGGCCCTTTTCCCTCCTCTGGCAGGTGAATGTTGGGTGTGATTTGTATTAGGGGAGCAGCTTGTGATTCCATGTATAGTTACAAAGAAACTGGTACAAGACCCAGTCTGATAAATGTTGTCCCCATAGGTGTAATGTGGAAAAGTGAGATGCAGTAGAAAATAGGGGTTTGAACATCAATAAAGCCTCTGCCTAAACTTGAGTATTGACAATAGTGTAAAAGTATCATGTACGATATGAGGAAGTAAAAACCTTCTCCTCTTGGTGTTGACAGCAAGAAACCCATCAAAGACCCATGAATTGTAGATAGTCAGTGCTTAACATTCACAGAAGTCAGACAGCCATGTAAAAATGGGAAAATATCCTAACGACAACTTATATTTATTTCTGTTTATTTTTTTAGGTGATCGGGATACAAAAATTGGTAAGTGTTGTGCTCTTTCCTCCGATGAGGAAAACTTTTATATAAATATGTCCCTTTAAGTGTGTCTCTTAATTTATTTTGGGTGGAGTATTCTAACCATAAAAAGATGAAATCTCTGCCATTGACTTCAGTACATCTAGGTTCAAGAACTAAATGCACATTCCACCAAAACAATAATAATGATAATTTGCAGGCCAAGATCCCACTCTTTGGACTCTCGGATCTCGTAGCAAAGCCAGTGTGCGAGATGTAAGGAAGTAGGACTAGGGTCTAGTGGCTAGATATTTAAAGATGGCTGGTCAGCAAACTCTCACTAAAATCAGTTAGGTTCCCAAATGTATTGAATAATTGGGCCCGAATTCCATAAGGAATTAAACTTTCCAAATTGTAAATGCTTGAAAATAATCAGTTATTGTTGGATACTGAACTCTAGGGGTATGTCTACACTACCACCCTAGTTCGAACTAGGGTGGTTAATGCAGTCATAGGGAGTTGCAAATGAATCCTGGGATTTGAATTTCCCGGGCTTCATTTGCATGATGCCGGGCGGCGCCATTTTTAAATGTCCGCTAATGCGGACTCCGTGCCCGCGGCTACACACGGCACGAACTAGCTAGTTCAGACTAGGCTTCCTAATCCGAACTAGCTGTACGCATCATGGAACGAGGTGTACAGCTAGTTCGAATTAGGAAGCCTAGTCCGAACTAGCTAGTTCGTGCCGCGTGTAGCCGCGGGCACGGAGGCCGAACTAGCCGGCATTTAAAAATGGCGCCGGCCGGCTTTAAGCAAATGAAGCCCGGGAAATTCAAATCCCGGGCTTCATTTGCAATTGTGGTATGACTACATTACCCTCCTATTTCGAATTAGGAGGGTAGTGTAGACATACCCAAAAAGAGCATATTTTTGTCCCATATATTACACGAATGTATTCTAACGGTGTCCAGTCATTGTAGCAGGAGATTGAAAGTTGGAAGAGTTGGATTCTGCTTCCCTCCTTCCATTGACACAGATTCATTGTACAGGATTGCACACAAATCACTACATGGTTCGTTAAACATGAATGAAATGTTTATCTAGTTGCTAGACATTCATATCATGGAAACACTTCTTTAAATCTATATTAACTGAAATTATGCTTAACCAACTTGTATTTACATCCATTTGCTTCATTTCATTTCTTCAGGGAAACAGCATCAAGAAATCAGTAAGTTTAATTTTTCTCCACATAGAACCTTTTCTATTACGTTGTTTGCTGTTCTATTCTTTATAATGATGATGATAAAAGTGATATCAACTTGAAAATCACTTGGAATATGAATGACGACCTATGGATACTAATTCAGTATGTGGGAAATGGGGAATCATAAAGAAACTATTATCTGAAATGTGTCTTCTCTGAAGGTGAAATGCATACAGTGCCAGTGGTACCATGAAGTGAAGGGCTAGAAGTACTCTGTGCCCTCAAATGAACTTGGATCCTCCTCTAAGAGAGCGGTTGATGTTAAAAAGAACATGGGGAGTGGACAGGGAAACACAATCAGAAATGAGTAGGCTTCATGGTCTCTCCTTCAAAAGGAAAACTTAATCTAAATTTGTCTCCTCGTGTTTTATTTTTTTATCCCAAAAAAAGAGAGTCCAGATGGTGTGGCACTAACAACAAGACTTAGGCCTTGTCTACACCAACGTGGAAAGTTAACTTAAGATAAGCAACTCCAGCTATATGAATTGCATAGCGGGAGTCAATGTATTAAATAGTTTTTTAGTTTGGTTTGATTTTGGTTTGGTTTTGTTGGTGCCATCCACATAGTAGGAGGTCTCCTGGCTGCTTTCCTTATTCCTTATGAGGAGCAGGAGTACTGGCAGGAGTATTCCTTTTAAAAAAAGGAAGAAGGGATCTTTCGGTAAAGGCTTTATTTTCCGAAAGATCCCCATCTAGACTGGCGCTTTTTTCCAGCAAAGCTCCAAGCCGGAAAAAAGCGGCAACCATGTTTATGCAAATGAAGGGGGGGATTTAAATCCCGGCTTCATTTGCAATTGCGATGTGTCTAATTTGCATCCCTTTAATGGAAAAGGGATGCAGTCTAGACACAGCCCTTATGCATAAGGGCTGTGTCTAGACTGCATCCCTTTTCTGCAAAATCATTTGCTTTTGTGGAAAAACTTGCCAGCTGTCTACACTGGCCACTTGAATTTCCACAAAAGCACTGACGATCTCATGTAAGATTGTCAGTGCTTTTGCGGAAATACTATGCTGCTCCCGTTCGGGCAAAAGTCTTTTTCCGAAAAACTTGCGCAAAAGGGCCAGTGTAGACAGCAGAGATTTGTTTTCCGCAAAAAAGTCCTGATCGTGAAAATGGCGATTGGGGCTTTTTTGCGGAAACGCGTGTCTAGATTGGCCATGGACGCTTTTCCGCAAAAGGTACTTTTGTGGAAAAGCGTCCTGCCAATCTAGGCGCGCTTTTCCGAAAATGCTTTTAATGGAAAACTTTTCCGTTAAAAGCATTTCCGGAAAATCATGCCAGTCTAGACGTAGCCAAGTTGTATCACTAACAGAATAGTACAGCAAAAGCTTTAACCAAGTAGTGTTTCAGCAAAAATGTTTTCTCTCTGTTGTTGTTGTTGTTGTTGTTTGTTGTTAATAGAAATAACTTTAAAACCTTGATCTTATTCCTGTGTCCTAGAAGGCAGGAGATTCTGTATGCACATACCCAAGACTGCAAAGCCAAAATACTAGGAGGGATCAGTTTTCCAAGCTCTCTCCAGAAGGAGGGTTAAAGAGCTTGAGGGCAGCCCACAGGAAGAATTTCCAAATATGTCTTCCTGGGTTTTCAAAGGGTTTTTGCATTTGTTGCTGGCAGCAATACCAATGCAGGGACAAGGAATCTTTGATCTTGGGGAGTTTTCAGACAGAAGCCTATAATGGCAGAGTATTTTAAAGTCTCTTGTGGGCCCCCAGCTTCTACACTCGGAGTGCAAGATTGGGGAATGGCCTTGAAACCAGCATGTTGGCAGACAGGGAGTGCTTGTGGCTTAAACATGCTGGTTAAGATGGTGGGAGTGGCTCTGTATGCAGGAGGGAGTGTGGAGCTGAGGGTTGAAGTCTGGGAAAGGATATGGGTGTTGGGAGGGACTTTGGGTGCATGAGGAGGATTGAGATGTGGGAGAGAGATTGGGGTGCTAGACCTGGGGGAGGTCACAAGACACGCCAGACATAATGAAGTGATAATTCAGCATGGAGGTAATGGGAAGCCCCAGACTTTAAAATGTATCTTCTGTGAGGGTAAAATTCACCTAGTCTTGGAGGCAACATGAAGCCGGAAGCCAGGAGGACTCTGTGCCCCAATGTCCTTCCACTCTTCTGACAAGTAAATAGTGTGGTCAGAATTGGATCAAGCTACAGGCTACGTGTATCTTTATTTCGGGAGCCGTTATTTCATTTCATTTTAAAAATAAATCCAGAGGAGACTGAACCTGGTGAATTATACTTGCCTCCTTTGGTCCAGGAGACAGTGATCTGCATCAGCCTGTTAATAAGCACCGAGAACCTGTTACACTGACTGGAGCATGTAGAGGAGGCAGAAGCAGAGCAGCCAAACCCCTGCCCGCTCCCCATCCTCGTCTGCCTCCTCCCTCTCCATCTATTCATTTATTCCCTGCTCCATGCCAGTGCGCTGAGGGAACAAGGAAAGGGCATTTTCCCTCCTCTGGCAGGTGAATGTTGGGTGTGATTTGTATTAGGGGAGCAGTTTGTGGTTCCATTTATTGTTACAAAAAGCTGGGATGAGACCCAGTCTCATAAATGCTGTCCCCATAGGTGTAATCTGGAAAAGTGAGATGCACTAGAAAATTGGGGTTTGAATAGCAATAAAGCCTCTGCCTAAACTTGAGTATTGACAATAATGTAGAGCAGAACGTAAGAGATGGAGAAAGTAAAAACCTTCTGATCTTGGTGTTGACAGCAAGAAACCCATCAAAAACCCATGAATTGTAGACAGTCAGTGCTTAACGTTCACAGAAGTGAGACAGCCCATGTAAAAATGGGAAAATGCTCCTACTTACAACTTATATGTATTTCTGTTTATTTTTTTAGGTGATCGGGATACAAAAATTGGTAAGTGTTGTGTTCTTTCCTCCAATGAGGAAAACTTTTGTATAATTATGTGTCCCCTCATAAGGGTGTCTATTAATTTGTATATTATTTTGTGGGGAGCATTTTAATCATAAAAAGATTAAATATTTTCCATTGATTTCAAGGCGTGAAGGTTCAGCCACTACATTCACATTCCACCAAAACAATAATGCTGATAATCTGAGGTCCAGGAAAACCACTCATTAGACCCTCTGTGCTCTTGGCAAAGCCGACGGGAATGTGTGAGAGATAAGGAAGCAGGACTAAGCTCTAGTGGCTAGATTGTTATAGATGGTTGTTCAGCGAACTGTCACTAAAATCAATTACGTTCCTAAATGTGTTGAATAATTGGGCCCCAATTCCATAAGAAATTCCAAGCTTTCCACGTTGTAAATGCTTGAAAATAATCCATTACTCCTGGACTCTGAACTGTAGTATAGCCACGTAGGTTAGTAAAACATGAATGAAATATTTGTGATCCAGTTGCTATGTACAGAAGCTATTGCCCTCTGGAAAAGGTGCCTCAAACACAGGATTACTATCAGTACATGTAACCTCCCAGGTATTTTAAATACCACCGCCTACGCACTCATCAGAACCTTATTTTTTTTACCACAACCCCCAACAAGAAGTTCCCCCTGTATTTCTTCAGAGTGGGCATAGAAAAAAGATCCCTGGGAGATGCCCTGATATTCAAAAAGAGCCATCATTTGCTCCATGCCACCCCCATCCCCCGATTCCCCTTCTCCACAGAACAATACACGCAATAAGAACGGACAGAGCAAAGATCATACTTCTAGCCCCTTCTTGGCCCAAGCAGTCCTTCCTCAACTGGATGGCCATATTCTCCCCAATGGCTCTACCGCAGAGCCTGAACCTATTATACCAAACAGGGCTCCAAATTCAGCCTCCGCAATTACCCAGGCTTCACCTCAAAGCCTGGTATCTAGATGGCTTTCAGAATTAGAGCGCCAGTGCTTGGAACAAGTACAGAATGTACCACTGCATAGCAGGGCTATGTCTACTCAAAAACCATATGCCCACAAATGGTCACAATTTGTCAGATGGGCCACATCATGCAACATTCCACCAGAGGTGGCCCCGTTACCTTCCTCCCTCCAATATCTCCTGCACTTAAAACAATCCCATCTTTCCAG